TTTTTTTTTTTTTTTTTTTTGAAGGTGATAAATGATAAAAAGAAAACATTTATTTCATCTGATTATGGTATCAGAAATCCAAATAGTGTAGCAACCAAGGTAGTTTATCTATCTGGGGAACTACAGCTGAACTGGAATGCATGCGGCACGTTTCAGCAGATCCACTGTGACCTATTGCAGCAAAAAAACTTGCAAAAAAAAAACAAAAAACAAAACAAAACATAAGCAAAAACGTTAGATGTCAAAGTCCTTTGTTCCGATCCGATGACCAAACTCTGTGCAGTCTTTGGATATAAATGTGCTTGACGCTCAATATAACCGTTTTGTTAAACAATATTCCAATCTCGCTGTTATCTCGGTGTAAGACGAAAGATTATAATGTTTAAAAAAATAGTATTAAAAAAAAAGAAGATTTCTTACTGATTCTCAACACATCGGAAAAATAAAAATATCCCTTGGTGTATGTGAGAGAGATTCACCTGATCCGGGTAGGTCTGTATTACCACTTTCTTCAGCGTGGGACCACTTTAAGGCGAAGATAAACTCAAGGATCTTCTTATCAAGGTGTTCTGTCAGTGTAAAGATGTGTCTGCTTGAAGTGGATGTCTCTGCTGGAAGTCTGGATGGCAGAGATCCTAATGGAAAAGATTCTCTTTTTTTAGGGATCTTAAACCCCTTTGAGAATCGCTTCCACATTTCTGAAGAGGAAAAAAAAAGAAAAAAAAAAGAAAAAAGAAAAATATAGATGTACTGGCAGTAAACAAGGTGTTCACTATTTATGTTGTGTAATAACGTTATTTTTTCGGTGTTTCAAACTAACTTTGGAGGCAACTCGAGTAAAGAAAAGAAAACCAACATAAATGACCACAATATTTCGTGTCTACAGAGTGTTTCATCTTCTAACTGGTGTCCAATAGGAAATCATATTGGTGTTTTTGATGTACCAAAAGAAAGAAAATAATAGAAAATAGAAAACCGAACGAAAGGAATAGAGAAAATTAACCCATAATTTGAAACGATCTATAATTGGATCAATTAGGGTTACATATATCCCATTGATATTTAGAAAAGAAAGAAAAGAAAATGAAAGAGAATAAAACAAAAACAAAACAAAAAAACAAAAAACGAAAGGAATAGAGAAAATTAACCCATAATTTGAAACGATCTATAATTCGATCAGTTTGGGTTACATATATCCCATTGATACTTAGAAAAGAAAGAAAAGAAAAGAAAATGAAAGAAAATAGATAAAAAAAAAACGAAATGGACAAATAAAATTAACCCATAATTTGATCTGATCAGTTTGATCAAATATTAGCCACAACCAAGAGAAAAAATTACCCCATACCATTTAGAAAAGAAAGAAAGAAAGATAGAAAAACACCAAAAGAAGAAGAAGAAAGAAAAATAGAGACACCAAAGAGTAACCATCGAAAATAAGCATAAGTGTTTGTTCGCTAAAAGTCGTTTCTATGGCAACGACTTCATCTCGCTACGACATCCAGGTGCTCATTCCTGATTCCGCAATATGTTATTAATAATTGTTTGTATTATTATTATCAGTATTTTCATTATTATTAATATTGTTATTATTGCTATTATTATTTTCATTATTATTAATATTGTTATTATTGTTAGTATTATTATTTTCATTCCCTTGATTATTATCATTAATATTATTATTTATTATTATTATTATCATTATTATTATTATTATTATCATCATTATTATTATTATTACCATCATTATTATCATTATATTATTATTATCATTATCATTAATTTATCATCCATATTTTTTTCTTTCATGATTGCTAATTATGGTGGAGTTGATTCACGCTAAACAAGCGTATATCGTGTCCATGTTAATTCAAACGGCCTTTTTTATCCTTATCTTAATTATCTATTTATCTCCTCCCCGAACGCATAGCGAGAAGTGTAAATTTCTATTTTTCACACCACTCTGTCGTCGGACGCTCCTCAACTGACCAGAAATATCTATTAGACTGTATCTATTAGACTGCCTGAATTCCCAGAGCTTAATCCATAGGTATCTTCAAGAGAGGCGCATCGACCCCGTTATAAGGGGGTGAAGGGGGGTGGGGGTGAGGGGAGTGTCTCTTCTCGGGTGGAGGTGGGAGGGGGAGTGTATCTTCTCGGGGGGGGTGGTGGTGTGTGGGGGGTTGGGGGTATGGGGGGGGGGGGGTGGCGTTTCTTAAACAGGACTGAATTATGAATTTTTAGTGAGTGTGTGAGACTCGTGTTAGAGGTGAAGAATTTCATATTTTTCTTATAGGACTGTATAGTGCTGTGATATTTGATATGTCGCAGTGAGAAAGCGTTATATATATATATATCTATATTTATATGTTATGTATATATATATATATATATATATATATATATATATATATATATATATATATATATATATATATGTATATATATATATATATATATATATATATATATATATATTATATATATATATATATATATA